CACAACCATACCATAATGAACAACTTCCCCGCTGATTTCTAAGTATATTAGGTTAACACACTGACAAATTAAGGGCTGTCCTCGTGTAATAAATTAAAACCATAATAAACTAACTTCTCGCCTGTCACAGAGGCAGCTATTCAGTGGTACGCATTTACTTCATCGCTCCAATACAGAAACTTCAAATACAGTATCGTCACAAGTGATCAGAATTGAAAACATGACAAAAAACCAAATACAAAGTTTCTTAGTTGCTCCGAGAGTTTTAAATTTATCTTTTGTTTTCTGACTGACATATGTTTCTGTGATGTCATCTAGACCTGTAAAGATTCACCTTTAGTTCAGTTGTTGAAAAAGCTTCCCCAAGCCAAAAATCATGTCACATGCGTAGCCTCCGTTCAAGTCCAAATACCGTTCTCTAACAACGAAGAAACAATGTTTTATATTCAAAGAAATACAAAGTTTTTAGTACACAGGGAAAACTACCAACTAGATTTCAGACTTCCTCCGCCTCTTACTTCCACTTTCGATATGGTCAATTCCCCAGATGCTTCTTCCTACTCTGAATTTTTTGGCCGCAGTCATACTATATCTAAAACTTCCAAGTCTACTGAAAAAACCACCATACAGTAATTAGATGTTTTTTTATTCATTGTATTCATTTTTATTCATTTTTATTGTATAATTATTCTTCACGTCTTTTCAAATCATACTTTTGTAATAATAAATATCATATTGTTTCAAAAACCAATTTCTTCTCTGTTTGAGACCGGTACATTTTAAAATTCAGTGCTCATCGACAAAAAAAAGCTGATTATAATTTCCAACGTGCCTAAGCAACTCTAGTGCCTGTAACTTGTAGTATTCTTTATTAACTAAAATATCCTTTTCCAGCATAATCCTGCTTGGTTCCTTGGTCATAATACGGGATAAAGGGTAACTTCCTTCAACAAGTTATCTAACATCAATTTCTTCACATTATTGTCCAAATGAGCTGAAATCGACTGTTGTTCATACAGGAAGTTGATTTTAATAAGTTTGAAGGCTCACTGCTTGAGCGTCAAGTTCGATCAAAATCCAGGAGTAATAATGCGTGAATCATTTCCCCTGTAAGATCTTAACACAAGTAATTTTTGCACCAAACAAAAGTGTGGTAAATTCTGAAGCTTTTGAAAACTTCAGGAAGGGTATCAGTCTTGATCACAAGCTAGTAGCAAACGACGACTTAACTTTAGATTCAATCTAGATTAAACAAAGAACTGACGTGGTGCAAGTATACTCTAACTAAACAAAATATCCTTTAACTATAGTTTTATCCCTACTGAAAATATCGTCCAAAATTACCTATTACTATTTGTACATTTTACACAAAAAAGCCTAAAAACAGTTAATATTTTTCCTAAAACTCAATTCGATACAGAAGCAAGTATTGCTCTTAGGAAGAAGTACTAACAAGAAGTGCAATAGTAAAAAGATAACTTGGAACTAGTCTATGGCTTCTAATATCTCCGCCGTCTGCACTGACTGTTAGCTGTAAGTAAGTCGGTAAGCAGTGGAAAAAAGATAGATAATAAGACTTCAGAAAGCCATATTTAGGTCGAAAGATTATTTGAAATTATTTTAACACAGTCTGCTGTTTCAGTACTAATCACTTTGCAAACAATTAGCCGTGAAGCAGGAATAGCTGAGTTTAATGTAACCCGTATCTTTTCCATACTAATTGTGGCTTCATTTTTCATCAAAAATTTGATTGAAAGTTAACTGCAAAAAAATGCAAAAACAGAAGGGTAATCAGGAAGTAATGAAACAAATGGTCTTTACGTGCGTAATAAACTGTTAGATTATTCCTTGGAAAATATAATAGACTACCTTAGTGAGATTTTGCTTAAAACCTGAGGTGTAAGAAAATGACCTATCAAACATTCGCCAAGAAGAACCAACTGCATTAGTTCACGATCTATTTTACAAATTCACGTAGAATGTCACGTAGAGCAAAACAGAACAGAATTTCAAGCATCTGGCAAGAGAGATGAAGCATGTTTCAGAAGCTGCTGATACCGTTTCAGGTCAGAAAGTACGCCAACCAATTGTTATTGATTTACAGTCCAGCACTGGTGTTGATATCGAGCAGACTGGAATTCATCAAATCACTTTCATTAATTATATTGTTATTATCCAACAAGTTCTTTTTAAAAACCGAATAACTATTCCCCAAAGCTCTCTGGCTCTTAAAGAATCTGTAACCAAATCTGTACTGAACACCGCAAGTGTATCCAGTTAAAATCAGTGGTACTGATTTAAGATTAAAAATGTAATTTAATTTCTTACTGAGGGTTAAGCAAATACGTTGGAAGTGTAATTTTGAAAATAAACAATTAAACACAGCGAAATAAAATTTAGTGCAAAACAGACAAAGTTTCGATCTGTACGCCAAGAAATCCTTTGAGGTTCAGTTCTTCTGCCTGCTTAATCATGGCAGTTTTTCTTTCTCACGTAAGATTTTCTGCATTAGAAACCACACTGTCGACAAACATAAACAGATTCTTGCAGCTCCTCTATACCATACTGCACCAAAAAAAAAAATTTTTTTTCCTGATTAGCACCTACAGGTCTGAAGAAATACTAGTCATTTTTGATGAAATCTGTTTGATAAAAAAAACATTAAGTATTTCTCTTTTCAAATCAAGCAGTTCTTTATTGTGAAGAACTCAAAATGTATCTAGACGAATAAAGTTGCATAACTAACCACAGGAAAGCCGTTATGATGCAAGAGTCCCAGGTTTACGGCAGTTATCATCTGATTATAGCTGAGATATATGCAACATATAATTTAACTTCTGTGCAAATTAAAACCAAAATTAATAAAGATTTTCATTCAATTTTGGCTCATCAGCAAAGAAAAGTCAGTATTTTATCAGTAGTAAACTTAAGGATCAATGCTGCCCCGAATGGAGTTCAATGACATCAGTACCGTTGACATTTCGATAACCATTTTAAAAATATTCCTACACTTTTCTGCGGACAAAGTTTCCCAGTTTCAGAGAAGATTGAAGAGAGCTGCAAAAAAAATTGCGATATACGACAAAGACCTGTCCGAAGGCCGTCGTCACGTTTATCACATGTAATCTGCAGTATCAGTGACAGTGAATGCAGTCTCAGCACGCGTGGCGTACACCCAACTCTTGGCGCTCCATTAACTGGAAAATTGCCCGAATGTTTCGTACACTTTACGTTGGAAGCTACTGCTGTTGCATTGCAGAAAAATGAGGAAGAAAGAAAGAATCGTTCAGGCGTCTTCTCGCTTGCCGTTGCTTTCAGAGGGTACTTTTCACCTGCGTTACACAACAGTTAAGTTGTGTGAGTTTTGTTTTTTAACAGGTTCTATTGCTAAACGGTGTTTTAGTACCATTGTTTATAGTTTTAGAATTTTAACAAGTAGTCTGAACAGGCCGTAATTTTAGTAAGCAGATTGCGGCAAATTGTGATCATTAGTTCCCGGTTGATACATTTGAAGTTTCTAAAACGAAAACAGTGAATTTTTTGGTTTATTTAGACTTACACTTACCCACTTTTTTCCTCTTCTTTCTTTTTCAATTATTGAATATATCCTTTATGCTGTTTGTTGCTTACCAGATAAAAATTGTTGTCTATCTGCATATTGGTTGGAAAATATGCTTATCATGTTTCTCCTTCCTTTTTTGGAAAAGGACGAAAGGGAGATAGGCGGTTAGAATTTTTTAATCATCAGTGTTTGATTTGAAATAACCTGTGATTAGTTAAATCTACAGTTTTATTTTATTT